AGTCTGCTCACGTTATTTTTCATTGTAAACCACCACATCACTCGTTGTACAAGACAATTCAAACTCAACCTGACTTGAACACTCAAAAATAAATAACTCAAATTTGAAATGACTTAAACTTGAAGTTAATGCAATCTAAATCTAACCGTAACTTGATATGACCCAATATGAATCACTAAATATGAAACAGTCCAACCTGAAATTGATCGTTCAGGTCGAATAGTGTAGAGACTTATTATAGGATGATCCTCTTAATCAAATTTATTTTATTCCCAATATCAAACCTCTAACCTTATTTAAGAGATCTAATACCTCATCTACATATGATTTCGACGTTGAAAGATTAAGGCTAAAACCGTGTGGATTGCCATGGAAATAACCCACCTCCCCCTCGAAAAAGTTAGTGGCTGTTGATTTGATTGGTTAAAGCATTTGCCTTCAAATTCCAGCACGATTGGTTTGCATGTTACTCACACGTGCACATCTACAAGACAATGCAAACCCTAATAAGTGGTAATAATATTGAGCGAGGGCAATGCACTCAAATTCCAAATTGAGACAAAAGCAATCGCTTTTGCAAATTGTCGTGTTTGGGGACCGTGGCACTCACGTCTTCTTTCTATGGACAAAGTAAGGGCGACAAATTTACTAAGTAGGATGGTGTCTACAGTGTTTTGAAAAGATACTAAGACCATTTAATGTCTTCGGTGGAAGATGAATAAAAAGCCTAAAGTCTTCTCAAATAAGTAAATCGGAAGACATCATGTCTTCTGTTGAAAACGTCGAGTGATCTAGATATATTCTCAAAATAATGTAGTATTTACCCTATTTAAAAGAATAAAATCAGCGCCACTTTAAATGAAAAAATTCATTTTTTTTCATCACTCCATTTGATCAAATTTTCCGACAAAGGGGCTTGTCTTTAAGGGGAAAATGATGGGCGGTGTTGGAGAATTGATGGAGTAAAAGAGAGCAATGAAGTTGACTCCTCAAGATGGTGGTTGTAAAATGGAAAGCAAAAGGGGTCCGCATGGTTTCCTAAGTTGACTACATGGATCATCACTCCTTCCACAAGCACTCATCTTTGTAGCTTCACATGCCCTTCTTTCGCATCATTCTTTCACGCATGTTATGCCCAAACCATCAGCTTTAAACTGTCAAAGGATCACTGTATCAGGCAGAAAGGCAAAATTAAAGTTTGATTGAGGTAGAATTTATCAAGTGGACTCAATGATAAAAAAAAAATGTTATTTTCCTTATATATTTCGGGTTCGAACAACTGTGTATGCGGGATATGTGCACATTGTTGATTGGTTAAGAAAATTTTGAACATATGCTACCTTATAATCACCATATACTATTGAAAACCAAGTTTGGTTGAGGTAAGGCTATTTTTGTTACTACCCCTCCCTCTTGATATTGTTGATATTCACAGTATGACTTGTTAGTAATAGTTAAATTCATTGTAGTATGGACTACGTCTCCATATAGATTTAGTTTTTTTTTTGGGTAAGAAGTATCAGTATTCAATTTGTTTATTGACTAATTTGAACCGATTCTTATAAAAGTTCATTATAAGAACGATTCTCAATACAGTTTTCTCCATTCACAACATCAAGATTCAAACTCTTAATCTTTACTCAAGGCACCTAATGATGTCTCATCCCCTATATCAACCGCAAAATCGATACAGTCTTAAAATTTAGTGCTTAAATCGACGTCATTTTAGGTATTAATAGTCGTACCAGATGTATTTTTGTTCATGTGATAACACCATTTGAGTTTTAACAGCCCAATGACATAATTGAAGTTAAAACCAAAGTTTAGTGTTATAATTGAAATAACTGTAAATTCAGTGTATAAATTATATATCGTCTGTAATTCAGTGGTATTTAGTGTAATTCACCCTTAACTTTACATTATTATATATTAAATTTGGTATATTCTAATAATTAAAAAATTTAAAAAATTAAAAGAGAAATAAATTTGACTTATTGATCCCTCACTGGGCTAAATTATTATCTCAGTCAAATCGCCAACAACTCCACCAAATTAGTGCAAAATGACAGGTTTGAAACCTTAAGCAAATGTCCCCAAACTCACGGACTTTATTAATAATTATTGTAATTTTATTTTATTGATAGTTTGAAGAGAAAGGCTCAACACACTGGACTCCACCCGAGGAGAATTGGTACAAGCTTAATACAGATGAGCGAGAAGACCAAATAATGGGGTAGCTCCCTGTGGAGCAGTTTTACGAGACTCATATGGCAAATGGGGATCTATTTTCACAAAATTCATAGGAACTGTTCAGCCCTAGAAGCCGAGCTATGGGGGTTCTAGAGGCATTGGGGCAGTTATTTCTCAAGCAGGAAGACTTATAGTCTATCTCAACAAGGCTCTTGGCCCAAAACATACAGATCTTTCAATTTATGAGAAGGAATATTTGGTCATTTTAATAGCAGTCTCTCACTGACGACACTATTTGGAGCGTGGTCTTTTTGTAATTAAGATAGATCATGAACCTTTAAAACACCTCCTTGATCAGAAGTTAACTACATCTATACAAAAGAAGGGACTTACTAAGGCTTGATTATAAAATTCAATACAGGAAGGGCAAAACTAATAAAGTGACAGATGCATTATTTATACAGTAAGGGGATTCTGGAGAATTTCTACAAATGGGAGTGACTATTATAACTCCTATTTGGATACATGACATTGAACAAAGTTATGAAGATGATACCATAGCACAGAAGAAAGTTCCTATCCTGGTTCTTCAACTAGACAAGATAGAGGATTGGAAACTAGTTAAAGGGGTTTTATATTTCAAAAACATGGCCTATGTGGGCAGTAAGGGAAACCTTAGAGAGAAAATCATTTTGGCTCTACATGATTCACCACAAGGAAGTCATTCATGTATTCAAGCTACCTATAAAAGAATCAAATCTTATTTTTTCTGGTCAAGAATGGAGACTATGATTCAACTGCATGTGCAGCAATGTGAAGTATGTCAGAGGACTAAAATTGAACATGTTGCTAAGCTAGGGTTGTTACAACCCATTCCATTTCTAAACAATGCTTGGGAAGTTATTACAATGGATTTCATTGAAGGCTTGCCACCTTCAACAAAATACAATTGTATTCTGGTAGTGATTGATAAATTCACTAAGTATGCTCATTTCATGTCATTGTCTCACCCCTACACAGTGGTGAAAGTTGCTAGGGTCTACCTCGACCAAGTTTACAAATTGCATGGTCCTCCTAAAGTCGTTATTTCGGATAGATATACATCTTTTACTAGTCTATTTTGGTAGGAATTACTGAAGCAAATGGGAACAACTACATTCTTTAGCACTATCTGTCATCCAAAAACAGATGGGCAAACAGAGAGAATCAATCAATGTTTGGAACAATATCTTCGATGCATGTGTTTTTTAAAGCCAACCTTTTGGTCGAAGTGGCTAGCCCAAGTTGAGTGGTGGTACAACACTAATTACCACACTGCTTTGGGAATGACCCCATTCGAGGCACTATATGGCTACAAGGCCCCTAATTTGGTTTAGTCAGGATAATTTAGAGTTGGGACATTCGATGATATTATGCAACAAAGGGATCAGTTAAATACGTTACAACACGAACAATTACTTAAAGCTAGTAATCGTATGAAACATATAGTTGACAAGAATCGCACAGACAGAGAGTTCCAAGTAGGGGATAAGGTATACTTGAAGCTCTAGCCATACAAACAAACCTCCCTTGCTATACGAAAAAACTTGAAGCTTGTTGCTCGGTACTTGGGCCCCCTACAAAATACAACAGAGAATTAATCAGGTTGCGTACAAGTTAGAGTTGCGACCATAGTCGAAATTGCATCCTCTATTCCACATTAGTTTACTAAAGAAAAAGGTTGGGAAACCAGGAGTGACCTCGATCGACCCCCTAAAAGTTGCATTTGATGGTCAATTGAAGGTTTATCCGACCATGGTTTTGAATAAACGAATGATTAAACGACAGAACCAGACGATCACTCAGTTGCTTATTCAATGGACGGTCATGGGATCGGCCAACACAACTTGGGAAAACTACACCGTGTTGAAGACATAATTCCCCGATTTCGATCATTGGGGACAAGGATCATCTGGTGAAGGGGGTATTGTCACGATGGAAGAGGAGTTGGGTTAGAACAAAATGAATTGGGAAAAATCAAGAAAATGAGTCGGGTTAAAACATAAGAAATTGGAGGAGAATTAGAAGCAATTAAGGATTGGAGGAAAATTAGGGATTGAGAAAGGGAAGAAACATGATGTTATACGGGATGGGGAATATGGACGGGTCGGATCATCTAGATGGGCTGGAAAGTATGAACAGGCCGGAGCAATTGGAGAGGGAACATTCAATTGGAACCGAGCAGACTTAACCCAAAAACATCCATCAGCAGCTAATAGAGACACCACGGGCCTGAGAGATATTTGGGCCCCAAGCTGATTAGTCCACCTGGAAAAAATATACTTGAGTCAGCAATCTAATCGTTAATTTGTTAGAATTGATGTACTTGATACAACTGTGAGGGTACATGTGCATATATAAGTTGTACCTATTCATATTAGGGATTACTTTTTGAGAATGAATTGAACGTTTTCTGTATTCTAAGTTATTTCTTTCCTGAAATCTCTAAATCTTCTAAATACATTCAACCGTAAACGTAACAAATACATTTCAAAGATAATTAAAATATAAAAAAAATATTTTGACCCAAAAATTTGAATCTCAACTTTCATACTTGAAAACACAAGTTTAATAATTGATCCAAAGTAAGTTGCTTAATCCTTCATTTCCTCCTAAAATTATTAAATATGAATTTCGAATATTTTTCTATAATTATCTTAATAATATGAAGTTATAAAATAATATTTATTTAAAATCTTGATAATATATATAGCTGTTTGAATCCCTCGAGGATCCGGTGACCGCTCAATGGGGATCTGAGCTTCTTCCTCCCCGATTTCGAATTGCTTCCTTGGTGCACACCACAGTGAAACCTTCACTCAAAATAAGTTTCTAGGGTTTTGTCTGCAGAAATCGTTGCTTCCTATGGCTTCTAACACACATCTCGATGATGTAAGCTGCTTTCTTCTCATTACTATATGGCGCTATTGCATTCCATTTTAGGGTTTCCTGCTTGTTTTACGTTTTTCAATGATAAATTGATCGTGTTTTGGATGATAGGATGACGATTTTGGCGGTGACTTTCCCGGGAGCCATAGTACCAGGCATTCAGGTAAATTTTATTGATTCTTTCTATTTTCTAAAATAAATTGTTTTAATTATTTGTTTCAATGAACGCTTATATTTCCCATTTTCTTTGAAATGCATATTCAGGTAATAAAAGAAGCTTTGGTGATCTTGAGGACGACGAGGATGACATTTTTGGATCAAAAAAGGTAGCAATAGTTTTTAAGGTTTCTTCTTCTTTTTCTTCTTAAACACAATGGGTTTGAAGGAAATGTTGAACATGAAACCCTATTGCTCTAAGTCGATGTCCTTATTTAATCCCTACTCATTTGTTACTTTAGTTTGAGAACCCTTGACGGAGAAACAAAATCCTTTAGTTTTTTTCTTATCTGAGGAATTTTGTCTGCTTTTTATCATAGGCTAATTCTAAAGTAGAAGAAACTTCTCCTGGTGTAGCAACGGGGATGATTTTGTCACTTCGTGAAAGGTATAAAGCACAAAATGACATATACCTATCATATTATTATCATGTATATCAACCTTTTTTTTTCTTTCAATTTTCTACAAGACTTATCTTCACTTTTTCTGGTAATTTTTTTCTTCTTCCTCCTTTTGCAGTCTTCAGAATTGTAAGGATACCCTTGCAACGTGCCAAGTATGTACTCATTTATTGTTTGATATTGTCCCATTGCTTCTTGGAAATACTCTAGGTAGTAAAGACATTAAGCTTGGAAAATTTTCTTTTCTGTGAAAAAAAAACGTCTACAAGATAATTTCAATGATTTATCTTTTTGGTTGCTCCAGTTTTATTCTTCCTTGTTGACTGGGAATGCTTTTGGATACACTTACGGTTTTCCTCTTTTTAATAGGTTTAGAAAGGGAAGTTGTGTTTAGGACTTGTTAGCTCTTTCTGTTGCTTTAACTTTGAAATGATATTTCATATGGGCATGTGGAATTAGCTTAGTCCATAAATAAGTTTCATGGTTGAAGAATTTAGTACTAATTACTTGAGCTTTCTTAGATTTAGGTCTTAAACTGTGATCAGTTTTTTCTCCTCTTTACCTCTTCTTATTTCAATTCCTTTTTTATGATATTTTCTGTATTAGTCGGAGCTTGAAGCTGCAAAATCTGAGATTCAGAAATGGCATTCTGCGTTTCAGAATGAGCCCTTCATACCAGCGGGAATAGCTCCTGGTATGACTTTTCATGTAGTTTTCCCCATATTTATTTTCATATATTAAGATCGGTATCAGCGTTTCCAGTTAGAAGTTTTATTAAATATAGATCATTTTATGTGTACTAGTTTTCTGATGAAGCAATTTTTTGTTCGGTTTCTGTAGAACCTAAGTCAGTACTAAATTATCTTCAAACTCTGAAATCCTCCGAGGAGACACTGAAGGAACAAGTAAGAGTCTGATGTGCTTATTTTCTCACTGTATTTTTCTGCATTAACTATTCTGATATGTCGTACTGACTTACATGTTTTCTTCTTATTTTTCAGCTAGAAAAAGCCAAGAAAAAAGAAGCTGCATTTATTGTAACATTTGCAAAGCGTGAGCAGGAGATTGCCGAATTGAAGGTGACATCTTTACTTGCACTTTCCCTTCTTTTAATTACCTTGCAATTTTCTGTTTAAGTGGTGCAATATGGTAATATGCAAGAATTGGATAATTTTTTTGATATTTCTTGGAAAGATGAGCAATAGTTATATTAATGTGCAGTCATGATTGCTGTAAAAACTTGAAATTCATTTTAATCTTAAGTATCGATTGTTATTAAAGTGGCTCATCTTTTAGGTCTGATATTTGCACCATCAGGACTTGCTGATAAATATGTTATCTCAGATGTCTGCTGTATTTCTTTCTTGAGGAAACTGCATAGTTTTTTTATTTTTCCACTGCTGATGTTTAACTATGGCTTTTAGTTTCTGTTGATTCTCAAGCAGAGAGAATTCCTTTAAATCTAGTGGAGTGAGAACTCATCTTGCTCATATATATGCAATCCTTTAAGATCTTCCTTCTGGGAGTTTCACTTTCCTGTTACTTGTGGTGAAGATTGTCATGACCTTATAGAGTCTTTTCTACTTCAGATTCTGAAAGAACTTGCAAGGGCACCTTCTCCAATTTTCTTACTTCTATACATTCACTCTGACCCTTTATTTGGTTATTCTTTTGTATGAAATATAATGCCTATGTACATAGTGCATTGATTACTTGGACATTAATGTGTAATAGCTTGGCCATCTAACATCAATATCTCTTTTAATTTCCAGTCAGCAGTTCGTGATTTGAAAGTTCAACTAAAGCCACCATCAATGCAGGTATTATCTAACATTCATTATAAATAAAAGAAGTTATCTCTGTTGGTAGATATTGTAAATTTGGTAGCTTCTGTTGTCATTTCTGTTTTCCGGAGACTGCCAAGAAGAAAAAATGAACAAAATGTGTTTCTTAAGCATTATGGTGTTTTTGTACCATATACCTTGTTCATCCCAATAATCTGATATTGGATTTTATCTAGCTGAGTCAATAGATAGTACTCTTAACTTATCTTAAAAGAAGGCACTTGATGATACTGCATTTGTGGTGATTCAGACATAATTATTCCTTATATAAAGTTCTTGACTAAGTTGGTCTCAGTCAAGTGACAGTAAAACCCAACTCAATTAAGGAAATTACATAAAAAGACGTACTAATATTATAATAGATAAAATAAAAATAGGGTATTTATGTCCAATTTTTAAACTACCCACTAAAAACATAAATACTCACTTTCAAAACTACTTCCTACTTTTAAAGTTTTGGCGTATTTTTTTTAAATATATCTTTACAAAACATATTTTTCAACCAAAGAGTGGGGCTTGATAATTCTAGTGCTTGGTATTCTATCATCAAAGAAATTTGAATCATTTTTTTTTTATATGGGAAGGGGCGGACTTGTCAACTGAGTACTTGATACAAATCCTTTTCCACTCCAACATGATTCAGTCACCTAAGTTAAATGCTATATATATTGTCACGAATGCCTTGTACTAATTTCTTTTTCTTCTTTAATCTGTTAGTAGCGGTTGTTCTTGCTTTAATTAACTGCTCCCTCTGCCCCATAAATTGTGTTTGACTTTGATTTTTTGAACCATTTAAGAATATTTTTTTAACTTTATTCAGTGCTCAACTTTGTATTTCTTGATTTGATGAGAAAAAATTCTAAAAAATAGAGAATGGTAATTTGGAAAATTTCACGGGATAAATTTCCTCACTTCTCAAATTTACTATTTTGATTGGAATAGGACTATTGACGTGGAAACTACCTGCTTTTCATAGGAAGGAGTCTGACTTTTGTGTTTTGATTCCAAATTTCCAATCTGACCTCACCCTCAGTATTTAAGTAAATGGTTGTTGCTACTTCCTAACATTCTGTGGATGCAAACTTTTGTTGTCTAATTTATTGGCCTGATTTCAGCAAATATCTGCTTCTCTTATTCTATATTTTTTGGTCAGATATTTGTCAGACATGAATTGTTAACATTTCTGTTAATGGCTTAGAACTAAGTGATATTTTGCTTCTTGCTACCCATTTAATTTTCTTTGTGGCTTATCTGACAGGCCAGAAGGTTGCTACTAGATCCTGCTATTCATGAGGAATTTACACATCTAAAGGTTTGTTCTTAAAGCTCCATTTTGCTTATTTTGTTATAATTATATGCCCAAGAATATCTATTCTACAAATGAGGTAGGATGAATTTGGGGAGAGAGGAATATAAAGGGAGTGACATGTTTATTTAGCAGGCACTGTATTACAGGCCACGAAAGAACCATGTAATATTACTAATTGTAATGAATCTTGGAGCTTTGGACTCGGGGTGGTTTGGAAATTTTGCCTAAGTTGGTGTCATAGTGGATTAGGCCTGAAACGAATTCTCTCTCTCTCTCTCTCTCTCGCTCAACTTTGTGTGTATCAATTTATCAGTATTCATTTCTGACTGGTAATCTAGAATACGTTAAATACTTGATAAAATGAGGCCTACCAGTTTAATCTTCTGTTAGATTGTCCTGTTCTTATAAATTGTCTATTCAGGGTTATTTTGATGGCATTACGCTAGAAGTGGAGATATATTCTATTAAGCAGTCCATTGTGCTTATGAATCAGTTATTTTTAGTTCTCTACTGTTATGGCAACAGAATTTGGTTGAGGAAAAGGACAAGAAAGTTAAGGAGTTGCTGGAAAATATTGCTGCTGTTAGTTTTACTCCACAAAGCAAAATGGGAAAGATGCTGATGGCAAAGTGTAGAACATTGCAAGAGGAAAATGAGGAAATTGGCACTCAAGCAGAGGAAGGAAAGGTCTGTAGTTATATATGCATTGTTTTCTTGATGCATGCCAATTTATGTGTTTAAGCATTCATCTTCCCTATGATAAAATTTGGGGGTGGCGAATGGATCGATTGTGATCATTACAGGCTGCATTATAAAAGCATCATTTTGCCTCAAACTGGAAAGAATCCTGATAAAGATTAGAATGTCTTTCAAAGCTGAATATTAATTAATTATGTTGAGACATTGATCTGTTATTTATGCTTATTTTACTGACTTTTTTGTTGGACGTTTTGTTCTCTGCAGATGCATGAGTTGGCCATGAAACTTGCATTACAAAAATCTCAAAATACAGAATTTAGAAGTCAATTTGAAGGTCCGTGTTAAACAAGTTTTGAAATTTTTGTTGAATGAATCAGATTAGGATGGCTAACTTTAATGAGAACTCGAATATGGTCTATGCCATTTTTTAATTGAAATTCTTATTCTGTGGTTGAAAAACTTGGTTCATGCCATCTTGATCATTGTTGTTCTGTTGCATGCAGCACTATACAAACAAATGGAGGGACTGACAAATGATGCAGAAAGATCAAATGAAACGGTTGTTATCTTCCTCTCATCTTTAATCTTCACATTAAATTGAATCATCAAATATTATGCATTAAACGAGGAACACATGGAAATTTGGCCTTAGAGACTTAGATCGCTAGAGCTTATTTTAAGTAATATTTGCAATTGGGGTTAATTTTCTAGAATGCCCTTGTAGTAGTGAAGTTGCTATAGCCTCTTTGCCTTTTGATAATTGACATTTGCTTGAAGAAGCTAAGACATGTTTGAATAGGATCACTCTGAGTTCTATAGCCTATGTCTTCTGATATCTTACTATGGAGAAGGAAATAAAAATAATTAATGGTAGAAAAATGAACTTTTCATGTACGAGCAATGCCGGACTCCTCTATGAGCACTTAATCTGTAGACGATCACTTACCTATCATACTATTCTGATTTCCTTTTACTCGTCTATTTTCTATTCCATTGCTTCTTTCTTTCCTTCATGAATGAAGATGAAACTTGTTATCAAGAAAAGCCCGAAATGAAATAAATCTGTGTGAAAAAAGAGAGAAGCTCGAGCCCAAATTTCAGTTGAAGTCAATTGCAATATAGCCAAGGATAAGGTTCTGTCGGGAAATTAGACAAGAAACTGAGGGAAATGTAACATATTGGTAATTTGAATTCTTAGCAATCTGTACCTTAAACTGAGATTTAATTACAGCTCAACAATTGTAAGACGTCTCCATTTTTTGAGGACTTCAGGTAGGGAAAGTAAGAGAAGTAAAGAAAATTTAGGTCCATGCTATTATTGTCTAATTGAAGGGAGGGCCTCGCCCTGGGGTAGTGGTCATGTTCGAGGAAGAAAGAGAATTACCATCCACGGTAGTTGTTTGTTCTAAGTTTTGTAAGGAAAGGAAAAAAATATGGCGTACACCACCATGGCTCGATCCTTGGCCATTGCAAAACGCTTAGATGATGTCAATCTTAGAATACCACCCGCCATTGACTAGGTGGTGGTTTGTCTATCGTAAGTTTCGTATACACACATGCATATTGTGCTTCGCTCAAGCAAATACTTTTATGCCTAGAGTTTACCTTTTGCCCTTAATAACTCTGGATAGTTGCACCGAGCGTTTGGCATTTGTTGACTCAATTCACTTTCTAAGAATTATACTCGGTATATTATATCATATTCAAGAAGGGCCACGTATACCCCCATGTAGGGAAAGTCATCCATGAATGGTGGCTCTTCGTACCCACCTCAAGATGATCGGTTAACTGATTCACAATTCTGTATTTTACAGATGGAGGCATGGTGACATCATGTTGGATATTTCATGTTCATATTATAATTCAGTCAGACCGATTACTACTAGTATTCTCCATGTTTGTCTTATCATTTTATAGCTGGTGTAATCTTTTAAGAAAAGTTGATAATTCGGGCAAGTTGTGGTGCAGGTGTATATCTTGCAAGAGAAACTAGAAGAGAGAGACAAGGAGATTGAAAGGCTTAAGATGGAGCTGCAGCAGAAGACGGTGTCGGTTGAAGATGATGATAATAAGACAGGTTTAGCGAACGATGAGATGACAACCGGTGAAACTGGGAACAGTTCGCAATTGGATTGACATATTTTGTAGGATGTCTGGCAATTGTTTGTACATTATACATTTAATTAGTTTTCCTTTTATCGCTTTAAAATTTTGATTTGCCAGTAAATTTTGAAAACTCGTTACTGTTGGTGGGATTGCATTATTGAAGTGCATGCGGATGGATGAGGTTAAACTTGACATGTTATGTTGCTTTGGTAATGTTTATTTCATCATCAAAGCTTTGATGGTTGTTTAGAATGGGGATAAGGGAGCGTAGGGTAGGGGTGCTGAACCCTGCTTAATTCAGCAACTCGTGAGTTGCTTGGACTTGATTAATGCTCGATTCAAATTTGAACTTAAGATTTTAACAAATTGAGTTGGGTTAAATTCAACTCGACAAGTAGTTCGTTAATTTTCTTATAATTTTTTTGTAGTTATTTTAAAAGATTATATTAAAAAAAATTAAATAATATTTACTAATTTGTTAGGATGATAGATTACTTATCAGTAATTACTACTAATTTACTAATCTATTAAATTTACTAATTTATTGGTTTGTTGTATTTGTGGATTCTTATTCTAGAGTTGACTTTGAAATTGTTTTATGCATTCTTTTGAATTTGGTAATTTATGTTTATATTAATCTCTATATAGTAATAATAGATTTTGTCTATAGTTAAAAAAGTAAAGTAAAAATTTTAGTGATCTTAATAAGTAAAGAGTCGAATTGAGTAACAATATTTTTTAACAAGTTGCATAAAATTTTAATGAGCTTATACTTACCGAACAATGAATCAGTTGAACAATAAATTTTTTAACCAGCGCAAGACTAATATTACTTAACTCGCAATTGTTTCGTTCGATAAACGCATTAAGGAAGCTTCTAAAACAGAAAGGAAATATTCAAACTTGTGGAATAAAGAAAGTAATTAAGGAGACCATCTCAAAGTTGATTTTTTTGGATAATTATGTATGTATTAAATCCAAAGAAACAACAAAATTACAACAAAAAATTAACAATCACTTTCTTCTTTAGGGTTAACGTCTAACTGGTCCTTCAATTTTATTATTATTTAAGTTAATGATTTCAATTTTATTCTTCTCCACAAATTTCAAGCAAAGAACTAATAGGCTATGTAGATATTAAAAAACATCATGTTAAAATTTACCTCTAATATTTAATAAAATAATCATTTCATTTTTTATTTTTTAAGTATTTTATATCAATATCTCATTTTAAATAATCATATTTTTTAAAATTATAATTTTGTAAAAAAAGTATGTTTCAAAATTGGATGCGATGTGTATTTCATTGGCTAGCATTTCTCCCATATTTTTTAATTTAATATGAAGTTATAAATTCAAAGAAAATTTGAAATTACAGACATTCACCAAATATGTGTGAATAATATATTTTGTGAACCTTACATGACATTGTCACGAGGAACAAAATCTGACCCACGAAAGCAACGAGATGCATAGAGCTGAGGGTAAGTTAAGTTATGCGGAAGTTTAATTTAAGATATTTTTAATTTAAAATGTTATATAAATGTATGATGTTTAAGATCGTAATCATAAAATTACATTTCAAAATAAAAGATTTACAATAAAAAATATTATAAAGAATGTAGGTAATAATTTATATTATAATTAAAAATATTATTCTATCTAACCTAGAATATTATATTTTTATATAAAAAAAGTATTATAATCAATTTTTGTCATTTTCTAACTATATTTTAAAATTTCCTATAAACCGATGATGTCTCTATAAATACAACCGCTGCTTTGATCTCATCCAAAATTCCACCTCTTGTCTATCAAAACATTGAATCTAAATCACCGGATTCCTTCCATGGCTCCTCCTTGTAAAGATTAACAATAGATGTCTAATCTATGTAAGCAAGAACAGAGAACAAACGAGAAACAAATCTTCTGAAATTCATTATTTTCAAGTGTGTGTATTACAATTCTCAAGGAAAGTATTTATAGCTAGTACTATAACTGATGATGTAACTAACTTCACAACAAACTAACTGCTTCAACTGATCAGCTGTAGTGAACCAATCCTCAGCTGCACAACCATCATGCACAGTAGTTGCATGTGTACTTAAATGCCATGCATTTACATACACTAACATTCCTCTTGCAATCTTCAACTTCAAACCTCCTTCAAACTCAAGACACACAAACATGATCAATGCTTCTCCAAAACTCAAATTGAACTAATGTTCATTTACACTAACATTCCCCTTGCAATCTTCAACTTCAAGTCTCCATCAAACTCAAACTGATCTGCTCTTGAGCTGCATCACCTGCAACCGTTGTCTGTGTTTGAAAAACAAAGGTGCTGATAAAGGCTTGGTTAGCACATCAACAACTTGCTCGACTGCAGGCACTTCATGCACTTGTAGCTTTCCCATAGCCACCATTTCTCGAACAAAAAACAGATCTAGCTCAACATGTTTGAACTTGGAATGAAGTACAGGATTAACACATACTGCCACTGCACTTGTATTATCACACCACAATGTGGCCTTGCCATGTGAAACTACATGTAATTCCCCCAACAACGATCGAAGCCACACCATCTCAGCAGCTGCACAAGCCACACTTCGGTATTCAGCCTCAGCAGTTGAACGTGCAACAACATGTTGCTTTCTAGAGCTCCACGATACCAAGTTCCCACAAAAATATATACAGAATCCTGAAGTTGACCGCCTATCATCAACATCTGAACCCCAATTTGCATCTACAAAGCCAGTCAAAGCCATTCTCGAGGAGGGTGTAAATCGTAGTCCAAAATCAACGGTGCCTTGTAGGTAACGAAGTATTCGCTTGACTGCCTGAAAATGAACATCAAGTGGGGCTTGCATGAATTGACACACCCTATTCAAAGCAAACGCCACATCAGGTCGAGTGATCACAATGTACTGCAGGGCACCTATGATACTTCTGTATCGTGCAACATCTTCAAGTGGTGTTTCTTCCTTGGCTGACAGCCTGATGTTAGAGACCATAGGGGTGGGAAGGCTTTTCACGTCACCAAAGCCATGTTTCTGTAAAAGGTCGTGAATGTACTTTTGTTGACTCAAGACAACACTGCAACCTTCATAACTGACTTCCACCCTTCAACGAAAACTGAGCATTCAGGTTGTCTATAACACTTTGAACAACCACCTCTTTATCCCCTGTTACGATGATATCATCAACGTACACCAGTAAGTACACCAAGCTATCCGAAGTCTTTCGAACATAAAGAGAGGCATCCGACTTAGCTAGATAAAAACCTTCAGATTCCAGGTATGCATTCAATCGTTCAAACCAGGCCCTCGGTGCTTGTTTTAGCCCATAAATCGCCTTGTGTAACTTGCATACTAGCTCACCATTGCCTTGCTCATACCCTGGTGATTGAGTCATATAAACCTCTTCAGTAAGTAACCCATTCAAAAAGGCATTATTGACATCAACTTGTCTCAGCTTCCACCCTCGTGACAACGCCAAGGAAATGATTACCCTGATCGTTGCATGCTTAACCACCGGGCTGAAGACTTCATCAAAATCAATCCCTGGTTTTTGAAGAAAACCTTTTGCCACCAAGCGTGCTTTGTACCTTGAAATTGAACCATCAACATTTTTCTTTAAATGAAAAATCCATTTAAAGCTTACTGCATTCCTATCTCTAGGAAGAGAAACTAGTGTCCACGTGCCATTCCTTACCAGGGCATCATACTCGGCTTGTGCAGCTTCTTTCCAATGAGGACTTATCAAGGCCTCTGTGATATTTACTGGTTCTCGATCTGAACTTGCAACGTTATAAACTTTGGGTTTCCAGATTCCATGCTTACTCCTGGTCATCATGGATGAACATTGGAGACTGCTTGTGGTAACCCACTCTCCACATCGTGTTGAACTTCAACGCATGTTTCTACTGTACCCATCTCTTCTTGGACTCCATGTGAGCTGGAATCACTATCATTATTATTTAAAATTGTTGCACTACCATTATTATTCAAATTTGTTGCACCTTCATAGCTTCCTTGGACCCCATGTGCGTTGCCACCTTCATTATTTATATTAGGCGCACTACTCCTCCTATTATATACAATAACCGCACCATGAGAATTCCTTTGGACCCCATGCGCACCACGACAACCTCTTTAGAGCCCACGTATATCACCACTTTCAACGTTTGAATTTGCGTTATTTTCTACTAGGACCGAAGCTTGCTCCCCATGTGCACCACACATATCACAATTATTTAACTCATCATATGCACCACACATATCATTTTCAATTCCACGCATGTCTTGCTCCCCATGTGCACCACGCATATCATGATTATTTAACTCATCATGTGCACCACGCATATAATTTTCAATTCCATGCATGTCACCACTTTCAATTGCACACATATCACCACTTTCAATTCCACGCGTACTACCATGCATATCAACATTTGCATTATTTTTTCCTTTCTCCCCATGTGCAACACCATATTGGACCCCACGTGCATTATCAATTCCACTAACGCCATTATTTAAATTTCCATTGTTTAAATTTGGTGCACCATCACAAATTTTTTCTTGGACCCCACGTGTAACACCCCTAACCTGTACCCGATCCGGCTACGAGTCCGAGATGTCACATTGACTTTTCAAAACCTTTACTTGAACAAAATAGTAAATAATTTTAAAACTTTTACTAAATACAATTGACTAATTTACATAAATTAGTATCATATGATTTTACAAACCAATTAGAGCATATCAAATTCCAAAACTTTATTTACATGCCAACTACCTCAATATACCAATTACATATATTTTCTGATCTGAACTTTGTAAAGGAGATACTGACCTGTCTTGCTCCACATTGCTCTCTATATTCTTTTCGAACCTACGTGTGAAACAATCACACGCTAAGTCGATGACTTAGTGAGGCAAATAAAACATATAATAGAAATCATAAAACATTCCATATAACATAACACATGAACATTTAATACTAACTTATCATACAAAATCATATAACAAATTCATACAAAATCACACATCCTTTTTATATAACAAATACACTCATGTACATATATCATCATACAATTCATATAACGCATTTCGTATAATAAAAAACATATCCATCATATATATATATATATATATATATATATATAT